GATTAACGGTTCTGATTTAAATATTAATGTTTATATGTAATATAATCGATTCACCTAAAATATATTTAAAATTTTTAATTTACATGATAAATAGTGAACAGTAACTATGAAGTGATTTTATGTGTTAATATAATATAATTATATTCACTGTTAGGTTAAGATAAAAATATAGTAATTTTGTATGCAATACTCATCTAAAAATACCAATTTTCCTTTTACAAACAAAATATATACTACCATACAATTTTATAATATCTATTATGTGATGAAAATATACCTTGTACCTACACATATACATTAAGTTGAGGAGTTTCAGTAGTATTCAACATTTATTCATTTGCATATTGTGTTTATTATTAATGTTTTTCTAAATTGAACAAAACCACCACCAAAACTTCGTTTATTTTAAATTATATTTCATACATTATAGCTAATACGGCTATAGATTCTTATGTTTTTTATTATTATTGATAAATAGGTACTCTTTAATAGCATAAAATACTATTTATCGTCTAGGTCATAAGAAGCTTCAATAATGCTTTATATTATACCTTTATTTATAACATTATGTCACTTTTTATTTCCTCTCTCTAACTTAATACTTCTAAAAAAGTATACCTAATACATTAACTATTTATAGCATAAACGAAAAAAAAAACAATAGGATTTATTTTTCCCACTTGATTAATATGCCGCTGATCTGTTATAATATGTTATTATCGCTCAAAAAAGCATGCGCTTTTAATTTAATTTAAATTTTTCTTTATAATATGTTATTTAAGTTTATCTATTTTTTTATGATAAATAGGTACAGATTTTATGGAAATATTTTCATTTGTAAATTGAACTTAATTCATTAACTATTAATATTATTTAGCTGAGCTACTCGTAATTCATCTCTGTGATATATAATGATAAAACTCATTCAAGACTAAAGAAGGGCAATAAAATAAACATCAATAGTTTTCATAAAGTAATAGCTAAAGATGAAACAATATTTATAGTTGTTTTAGATTTATATAATCGTTTATTATTAACAAAATAGATTTATGGATCACTTTATAGTCCTAAGATATTGGATATTATAATATATACATCTAAGTTTGTTCTAATAAGTTGATTTACTTACTGCTTGGTTATTTTTTAATAAATATACAATATTAGACATTAAAATATTTATTTATATTTATTTTACATTTTAACTTTAAACTGTAAATGTGTAATTCTGAATGATCTTTTATGG